AACGTGTTCTAACCCAATGCAAAGAAACTAAGAACCTTGAAAAAAGATTTGACGAAATGCAAACAAGAATGGACAACTTAGAAAGGAATATAAGTGAATTGATGGAGCTGAAAAACACAACACGAGAACTTCGCGAAGCATGCAAAAGTTTCAACAGCCGAATTGACCAAGCAGAAGAAAGGATATCAGAGGTCAAAGATCAACTCAATGAAATAAAACGGGAAGGCAAGAATAGAGAAAAAAGGGTAAAAAGGAATGAACAAATTCTCCAAGAAATGTGGGACTATGTGAAAAGACCTAATCTACGTTTGATAGGTGTACCTGAATGTGATGAAGAGAATGAATCCAAGCTGGAAAATACTCTTCAGGATATAATCCAGGAAAACTTCCCAAACCTAGCAAGGCAGGCCAATATTCAAGTAAAGGAAATACAGAGAACACCACAAAGATATTCCTCAAGAAGAGCAACCCCAAGGCATATAATTGTCAGATTCACCAGGGTTGAAATGAAGGAGAAAATACTAAGGGCAGCCAGAGAGAAAGGTCGGGTTACCCACAAAGGGAAGCCCATCAGACTCACAGCAGATCTCTCAGCAGAAACCCTACAAGCCAGAAGAGAGTGGGGGCCAATATTCAACATCCTTAAAGAAAAGAACTTTCAACCCAGAATCTCCTATCCAGCCAAACTAAGCTTCATAAGTGAAGGAAAAATAAAATCCTTTGTGAACATGCAAGTATTCAGAGATTTTGTCACCACTAGGCCAGCTCTACAAGAGCTCCTGAAAGAGGCTCTACACATATAAAGGAACAACCAGTACCAGCCACTCCAAAAACATGCCAAATGGTAAAGAGAATCAACACAATGAAGAATCTGCATCAACTAATGGTCAAAACAGCCAGCTAGCACCAAAATGGCAATATCAAATTCACACATAACAATATTAACCCTAAATGTAAATGGACTAAATGCCCCAATCAAAAGACACGGATTGGCAAATTGGATAAAAAGCCAAAACCCATCGCTGTGCTGTATCCAGGAAACCCATCTCACATGCAAGGATACACAAAGGCTCAAAATAAAGGGATGGAGGAAGATTTACCAAGCAAATGGAGAGCAAAAAAAAGCAGGAGTTGCAATTCTCATCTCTGATAAATTAGACTTTAAAGCAACAAAGATCAAAGGAGACAAAGAAGGACATTACATAATGGTAAAAGGATCAATGCAACAAGAAGAGCTAACGATCCTAAATATATATGCACCCAATACAGGAGCACCCAGATACATAAGGCAAGTTCTTAATGACATACAAAGAGACTTAGACTCACACACAATTGTAGTGGGAGACTTTAACACCCCATTGTCAATATTAGACAGATCAACCAGACAGAAAATTAACAAGGATATCCAGGACTTGAACTCAGACCTGGACCAAGCAAACCTAATAGACATTTACAGAACTCTCCACCCCAAATCCACAGAATATACATTCTTCTCAGCACCACATCACACCTATTCTAAAATTGACCACATAATTGGGAGTAAATCACTCCTCAGCAAATGCAAAAGAACGGAAATCGTAACAAACAGTCTCTCAGACCACAGTGCAATCAAGTTAGAACTCAGAATTCAAACACTAACCCAGAACCGCACAGCCTCATGGAAACTGAACAACTTGCTCTTGAATGTTGACTGGATAAACAATGAAATGAAGGCAGAGATAAAGATGTTCTTTGAAACCAACGAGAATGAAGACACAACATACCAGAATCTCTGGGACACATTTAAAGCAGTCTCTAGAGGAAAATATATAGCAATAAGTGCCCACATCAGAAGTAAGGAGAGATCAAAAATTGCCAGCCTATCGTCAAAATTGAAAGAGCTAGAGGAGCAAGATCAAAAAAACTCAAAACCTAGCAGAAGACAAGAAATAGCTAAGATCAGAGCAGAACTGAGGGAGATAGATACACAAAAAAACCCTTCAAAAAATCAATAAATCCAGGAGCTGGTTTTTTGAAAAGACCAACGAAATAGACATACTGCTAGCCAGATTAATAAAAAAGAAAAGAGAGAATAATCAAATTGATGCAATAAAAAACGATAAAGGGGATATCACCACAGATTCCACAGAAATTCAAACCATCATCAGAGATTATTACAAACAATTCTATGCACATAAACTAGTAAACCTGGAAGAAATGGATAAATTCCTGGATACTTGCCTCCTCCCAAGCCTAAACGAGGAAGAAGCTGAAACCCTGAACAGACCCATAACAAGGTCTGAAGTTGAAGCACCAATTAAGAGCTTACCACCCAAAAAAAGCCCAGGACCAGATGGGTGCACAGCCGAATTCTACCAGACATACAAAGAGGAGCTGATACCATTCCTTCTGAAACTATTCCAAACAATACAAAAAGAGGGAATTCTTCCCAAATCATTTTCTGAGACCAACATCATCCTGATACCAAAACCCGGCAGAGACTCAACAAGAAAAGAACTTCAGGCCAATATGCATTATGAACATAGATGCAAAAATCTTCAATAAAATACTGGCAAGCCAATTGCAACAGCACATCAAAAAGCTTATCCACCATGATCAAGTAGGCTTCATCCCTGAGATGTAAGGCTGGTTCAATATACGCAAGTCTATAAACATAATTCACCACATAAACAGAACCAAAGACAAAAACCACATGATTATCTCAATTGATGCAGAGAAGGCCTTTGACAAAATTCAACAGCCCTTTATGCTAAAAACCCTTAATAAGCTAGGTATTGATGGAACGTATCTCAAAATAATAAAAGCTATTTATGACAAACCAACAGCCAATATCATACTGAATGGGCAAAAACTGGAAACATTCCCCTTGAAATCTGGCCCTAGACAAGGATGCCCTCTCTCACCACTCCTATTCAATATAATACTGGAAGTTCTAGCCAGAGCAATCAGGCAAGAAAAAGAAATAAAGGGCATTCAAATAGGAAAGGAGGAAGTCAAATTGTCTCTATTTGCAGACGACATGATTTTATATCTAGAAGACCCCATCGTCTCAGCCCAAAATCTCCTGAAACTGATAAGCAAGTTCAGCAAAGTCTCAGGATACAAAATCAATGTGCAAAAATCACATGCGTTCCTATACACCAATAACAGACTTAAAGAGAGCCAAATCAAGAAAGAACTGCCATTCACAATTGCCACAAAGAGAATAAAATACCTAGGAATACAACTAACAAGGAATGTAAAGGACCTCTTCAAGGAGAACTACAAGCCACTGCTCAACGAAATAAGAGAGGACACAAACAGACGGAGAAACATTCCATGTTCATGGTTAGGAAGAATCAATATCATGAAAATGGCCATACTGCCCAAAGTAATTTACAGATTCAACGCTATCCCCATCAAGCTACCAATGACCTTCTTCACAGAACTGGAAAAAACCACCTTAAACTTCATATGGAGCCAAAAGAGAGCCCACATAGCCAAGTCAATTCTAAGCAAAAAGAACAAAGCAGGAGGCATCACACTACCAGACTTCAAACTATACTACAAGGCTACAGTAATCAAAACAGAGATATAGACCAATGGAACAGAACAGAGGTCTCGGAGGCAACACAACATATCTACAACCATCTGATCTTTGACAGACCTGACAAAAACAAGCAATGGGGAAAGGATTCCCTGTTTAATAAATGGTGTTGGGAAAACTGGCTAGCCATGTGCAGAAAGCAGAAACTGGACCCCTTCCTGACACCTTACCCTAAAATTAACTCCAGATGGATTAAAGACTTAAACATAAGACCTAACATCATAAAAACCCTAGAAGAACATCTAGGCAAAACCATTCAGGACATAGGTGTAGGCAAGGACTTGATGGCCAAAACACCAAAAGCATTGACAACAAAAGCCAAAATAGACAAATGGGACCTAGTCAAACTACACAGCTTCTGCACAGCAAAAGGAACAGTCATTAGAGTTGAATCGGCAACCAACAGAATCAGAAAAAAGTTTTGCAGTTTACCCATCTGACAAAGGGCTGATATCCAGAATTTACAAACAACTAAAACAGATTTACAAAAAAAAAAACAAACAAGCCCATTCAAAAGTGGGCAAAGGATATGAAGAGATACTTTACAAAAGAAGACATACATGAGGCCAACAAACATATGAAAAAATGCCATCATCACTGGTCATCAGAGAAATGCAAATCAAAACTACATTGAGATACCATCTCACGCCAGTTAGAATGGCGATCATTAAAAAATCTAGAGACAACAGATGCTGGAGAGGATGTGGAGAAATAGGAACACTTTTACACTGTTGGTGGGAGTGTAAATTAGTTCAACCATTGTGGAAGACAGTGTGGCGATTCCTCAAGGACCTAGAAATAGAAATTCCATTTGACCCAGCAATCCCATTACTGGGCATATATCCAAAGGATTATAAATCATTCTACTATAATGACACGTGCACACGAATGTTCATTGCAGCACTGTTTACAATAGCAAAGACCTGGAACCAACCCAAATGCCCATCGATGATAGACTGGACAGGGAAAATGTGGCACATATACACCATGGAATATTATGCAGCCATCAAAACCGATGAGTTTGTGTCCTTTGTAGGGACATGGATGAACCTGGAAACCATCATTCTCAGCAAACTGACAGAAGAGCAGAAGATCAAACACCACATGTTCTCACTCATAGGCGGGTGTTGAACAATGAGAACACATGGACACAGGGAGGGGAGCACTACACACTGGGGTCAGTTGGGGGGAAATATGGGAGGGATGGTGGGGGGTGGGGAGATGGGGAGAGATAGCAAGGGGAGAGATGCCAGATGTAGGTGATGGGGAGGAAGGCAGCAAATCACACTGCCACGTGTGTACCTATGAAACAATCTTGCATGTTCCCCAAAACCTAAAATGCAATAAAATAAATAAATGAAAAAAAAAAAGAAATACACATCTGGGCTTAAACTGAGCACAAGATACACTTCTCCATCAACTATGTTTACCTGGCACTAACAGGTATTGAGCATCTTATTATTAATTGCAAAATGATTAAAAATATTTTTCAAATAGAGTAAAATCATGACACTCATACAGATAGGAAATGAACACATGCTAAAAGAAAAGGTTATTATAACATGTTCAAAAGGGAAACGAAAGAGTTGATATGGGAGTATTCATCAGGAATATTAAATGATTGTGTAAATGGAGGTAAAATTGGTTTCATTAGGTGAAGGACAACTGAACCTCTACTAAGGAATATGTTTTACATGTATCTGTGGCCTACAACTAACAAAAACCTATGCAAGATTTCAGAGATAATGTTAGGCTAGAATCAGATAACTTGCAATGATGTCCTGAAGATAGAGCAAAAATTTCCATTGAAACACACATTTATTTTTACAATGTCAAAATCAGGTAAAAAGTTATAGTTCCCTCAAAATCAGGATTCAGTCATTAGGGTGACTAGGTCAGTGTCACAGACATTTCTAAGCTGAGGTCTGATCAGGGACCAGTGAACACCAATGAAATCCCAAAGTCTAGGATGTCACAAAGGCAGCTAGCTCCCTGACCAATCAGGGCCTGGAGCAGAGAGATACAGTGGGCAGGACGAAGTGCCAGTGTCCTTAGAGACCTACTTGAGCTGGAGAATCAAGCATAGCTCAGCAGAGCCATACCAAGCAAACATAATGTCAGAGACAAAGAACTGTAAGAGCTCCCCTACAAATAACAATCAGAATCAAGACCCTTCTAGAAATGAGCTACAGGTCCCTAGGAGCTTCGTTGACCGCCTTGTTCGGGAAGAACGAGATGCCCAAAGCCAGAGTTCCTCTGTAATAAATAGCCTCCTTACCTTGCTTGATTGCCTTGGTGACTACATCATGGAGCAGGTAGGCCTGGAGGCCAGCCACAATGACAGTATGAACAACATTTCACAAGATGGGGAGAGAGAAGTGGACAACAACCGTGAGCCCAACCACCTCGAGAGTGATGTAATCTGCTTTCTGTTGGATGAGATGCCCAAATCTGAGAAGAATGGCTGAAGACTGGGGCCCAGAGCCTGGAAGGGATCCTAACAGGCTTAACCAGGGCAAAAACGAATCATAGCTGAGGAATCCCTGCTGTTGTCATCAACAAGTGCTATTAAAGGATGTAAATGCATGAGTATATTTCTGACTCCACTCAATTTCCGTCACTTCGGTTGGAGGTATTTGTGAGACATCTAGGAAAAGCTATTTCTAGAGAGCTGAAGGGTTAGAAGGGGTGGCCAGTGTGGGGAGTTTTGAATCAATGATTTTACAAGGGGCAGTCTCCAATAGTGACTGTGAGGTCACTGGCCTTTCAGGGAGGAACTGGCTGGGGTAGATACAGAGACTTCCTCATTGCCTCTCATCTGGAAATGGCTTGTGAGGCCAGGGAGCTGGCTGGGGGCCTCAGAGGCTTGTTGAGTTCCCAGCCTGATGCTGGGGCTGAGGGTGGAGCTGCAATCCCTGACTGAGGTGCTGGAGGCTTTATTCAGGATAGCAAATGTCTGAAGTCGGACGACGGTGGCCACAGGGGTGGGTGGAGAGGGGGCACACTAGCTGCCGTGAACTTAATGGGACAGGGGTTTTACATAGACATTGAGGAGTGAAGGGAAAACCATCATGAAAAATGCAAAAAAGAAATGATGGCCTGCTGGATTGCATTTCTTACTTCTTTACACCCTCCCTCATTATGAAAGAGAACTTCAGGCAGGGATTTGTAGCTAGTGCTGTGAATATATCTTTCTGCCCTCTCTTCAGGACACTGGTAAAATAAATCATGAGATTACATAGAACCTATGATGTGGCCTTAGATGGGCAATTCAAGAAGTTTTTAATGGTTGTTAATTATTGATGAATCTGCTTAATTATAAATGTATTTCATTTAAAACAGGATTAACAATCTCATTTTTAAATTAAATACCTATTCATTATAATGACCATATATTGCATAGAACACCAAAGAATTATCAGTGACTGCATATATGTTTTAAGAGGTATAGAAATAATTCTGTCCCAAGCAATGGCCTCTAAAGCACAGGCAATCCTTTTCAAAACTTCCTGCTCTGTGCAAAATTTAAAAAAGGTGTCACATCAGGTGTTGTAGCCATCTGTCCCCTTGCCTGTGAGTGTCCACATTTTAGGTTGTCACCTGGTCCTTGGGTCCTCGGGGGCCACAGTCCGCTGCCTGCTGGTGTTTCACAGATGGTTGGTCAGAGGCTGCCCAGCCGGTTTCAAAAACGGGAGCTGAGGGCCTGGTTTCAGATCCCAGTTCACCAATTTTCAGCCACGTGATGATACTAGACCTTCATTTCCTCCCTCTGAGCAGATCTCTTCATGCGTAAATGGGGTAATAAGAGTTCCTCCATATGTGTATTTTTCTGAGATTGAGCCCAGTTGGGGCTGTAAACTGCTGCTCCACACAGTGCATGCACAGGGTCACCCTTAATAAACAGCTGCATCTGTCTCCTTCCCTAACAGCAGACTCACAGGTGGGCTTCCCCAAGGTGCAGTGGGCCTGGTTCTCAGGTGACCACTTGGCATGTGGGCCATGGCTGTGAGAACCACATCCTGCTTAGCCCTGTAGAGAGACAGGAGTGTGCCCAGGAGCAGAAGACAGGAACAGAGGGACAAGTCAAACAATCCCCACTCCGGTGTCCCCTCTGCACCTGTTGCCTGATGACTTGCTCTCTCTCTCTCTCTCTGCTTCTGTCTAAGAAGGACCTAGCTTTGCCTTTGGCTAATTCAGAGGAGTGTCCTGACAAGGAAGGAAATAATGTTGGGGTTGTCTTTTGGGCCATTTGGGAGATGTGCTTGCCTGAATCCCAGAAGCCTTCCTTGCCACCTCATGTCCAGTGAACCTCATATTCCAAGGGAACTCGTTGTCAAGATGCCCATCCCACCGCTGCGTGATTCCTTATGGAGAGCTGTAAAGCATTTCCAGCCTTAGCCCAGGTCGTCACTTTCTCTCCTGTGCATGTGAGCAGCAAGGAGGCCTCTCTCCAGCAGCTGCAGGTGGGGAGTCTCCTTCAGCTGATCCCTTCATGGCAACAGCAGAGTCCCCTCCGCTTCCCAAAGTGAAACATCTTTGTGTTCAGGGTATGGGTTTCTGCTAGTCCAGTGTCCTCCAGTCAGAAGTGGTGCCTCTAGGATGGGTAATGGCTGGGAACTGATCTTTTTCCTCAGATCTTGACATGTTGGCTAAGTAGCTGTCTGGTGTTTAAAAGCAGTTGATGTTGCTTATGGCTGTGGCTTATTGTAGGACTAGACATAATGTCCTGGATACTTCACTGGAATGCACCTCTGAAGAGGAAGGAGAAGCCATAGTAGGTGGGTGGCCCTTGGCGGGTGAGTCCCTCTGTGTAGTCAGGTGGTCACCTTATAGTTTATGCAGTTGTCAAATCTAACAGTCACTGTGACCCTGTAAGGACCCGAGCTTCTGGGCTCTTTCAGACTGTTTCATGTCTGAAGTGGAGTTTGGAGATTGACCTTAAATGAGCCCCTGTTATAAGCCCTCTGCAGAGGGCCATGGCAGAATCAGCAGGAGTGACCACCATCCCTCTAAGAATTGTGCTCAGCTGTGCTTGTGGGTTTCACAGGCAACATGGGGTCCACAGCCCTCATAGCATCAAGGCGAATGCAGCAGCCTGCCAGATCCCCCTTCTACACATACAAAGAATACTACACTCAGGGGAGGCAGGGAGGCAGAAAGAATTGCTGCCATTGGAAAGGCATGAGCCTACCCCATTGTTAGTCCCCGTGTGCATTTCTTTCTTTTTTTTTAACTTTATTTTCTGAGATACATTTTTAGAATTTGCCAGTTTTTTACATAGGAATACATGTGTCATGGTGGTTTGCTGCACCTGTCAACCTGTCATCTAGGTTGTAAGCCCCACATACATTAGGTATTTGTCCTAGTGCTATCCCTTCCCTAACTCCCCAGCCCCAACAGGCCCCAGTGTCTGACATTCCGCTCCCTGTGTCCATGTGTTCTCATTGTTCAGCTCCCTCTTATGATTGAGAACATGCAGTGTTTGGTTTTCTGTTCCTATGTTAGTTTGCTGAGGGTGATGACTTCAAGCTTTATCTATGTCCCTGCAGAGGACATGAACTCATTCTTTTTTTATGGCTGCATAGTATTTCATTGTATATATGTGCCACATTTTCTTTATGCAGTCTATCATTGATGAGCATTTGGGTTGGCTCCAAGTCTTTGCTACTGGAAATAGTGCTGCCATAAACATACATGTGCATGTCTTTTTATAGTAGAATGATTTATAATCCTTTTGGTATATACCCAATAATGGAATTGCTGGGTCAAATGGTATTTCTGATTCTAGATCTATGAGGAATTGCCACACTGTCTTCCACAATGGTTCAACTAATTTACACTCCCACCAACAGTGTAAAAGCATTCCTATTTCACCACATCCTTGCCAGTATCTGTTGTTTTCTTACTTTTTAATAATTGCCATTCTAACTGGCATGGCAGTTATTGTATTTTTGATTATCTTATTGTATTTTTGATTTGCATTTCTTTAATGATCAGTGATAATAAACTTTCTTTCACATGTTTTTTGGCCACATAAATGTCTTCTTTTGAGAAGTGTCTGTTCATATCCTTTGCCCACTTTTTGTTTTTTTTTTTTTTTCTTGTAAATTTGTTTAAGTTCCTCGTAGATTCTGGATATTAGACCTCTGTCAGATGGAGAGATTGCAAAAACTTTCTCCCATTCTGTAGGTTGCCTGTTCAATCTGATGATAGTTTCTTCTGCTGTGCAGAAGGTCTTTAGTTTAGTTTAATTAGATCCTGTTCATCAATTTTGCTTTGTATTGCAATTGATTTTGGTGTTTTAGTCATGAAGTCTTTGCCCATGCCTATGTCCTGAATGGTATTGCCTAGGTTTTCTTCTATGGTTTTTATGGTTTTAGGTTTTACATTTAAGTCTTTAATCCATCTTAATTGTTTTATAAGGTGTAAGGAAGCGGTCCAGTTTCTGTTTTCTGCATATGGCTAGCCAGTTTTCCCAGCACCACTTATTAAGTAGGGAATCCTTTCCCCATTGCTTGTTTTTGTCAGCTTTGTTAAAGATCAGATGGTTGTAGATGTGTGGTGTTATTTCTGAGGTCTCTCTTCTGTTCCTTTGGTCTATATGTCTGTTTTAGTATCAGTACCATGCTGTTTTGGTTACTCTTGCCTTGTAGTATAGTTTGATGTCAGGTCACGTGATGTCTCCAGCTTTGTTGTTTTTGCTTAGGATTGTCTTGGCTATACAGGTATTGATTGACTTATGACCTATGCAACTTACGACCATTCAACTTTATGACCACAATCACTAGCCACGACTGCTCTGCATCTGGCAGCGCAAACGTTGCCCAGCTGGGTGTACGACAGTGTGGACCAGCTTCCGGCAGCACTACCATCTCCTCGTGCACCATTTCAACTGTTATACCAGACTCGGTACAGTAATTTGTGTTTTGTGTCTTGGATATTTTTCATCAAACCTCTCCCAAGATGTCTACCAAGAGGAAATTGTCTTTGTCCATGCCTCAGCCTGCCAAGAAGGAGAGAAAGGCCATCGATCTCGACATGAAAATGAAGGTAACTAAGCAGTACGAGGAAAGAAAGTGAATGTGATCTCATGTGATACGAAGTTATCACACTCGACTGTGTCGATGATTTTGAAAGATAAAGAAATAATTTGTGAAGCTGTGAAAGGTTCTGCACCCATGTGATCAACAGTTATAACAAAGCAACGAAGCGGGCCCATCCACGAAATGGCGAAATTGCTATATATTTGGATGGAAGATCAAATTCAAAAACGGACACCATTAAGTCTTTTTACTGTGCAGATGAAGGCGGGAAGCCTATTTCAGACTCTGAAGGAGCATGCTGGAGAAGATTACGGTCAAGAATTTGTAGCAAGCACTGGCTGGTTCCAGAGATTCAAGAAAAGATTCCAAATGCATAATGTTTGAGTGACTGGAGAAGCAGCGAGTGCGGATGAGGAAGGAGCACGTAAGTTTGTTGATAGTCTGGATGAATTAATTACAGATGAGGGATATCTAGCAGAACAGATTTTCAATGTTAATGAAACTGGATTATTTTGGAAACAGATGCCAGCACACACTTATATTCACAAA